TAGTTAATTCCGGCCCTGCCGATCATGATTCCGATGTATTCCGACCCGGAATTTTGGGGATCCCCCTGTATGAGTTTCTTACTTCTATTTGACTATGCATGAAACAAAACAAAGCGTCACATGTAATTGTCGAATTTTAGCAAGTCGGCCAATCAGGTTGCAAAAAAAAAGTTGTTTCACGAGGAATCAAAAAATACGAATTGAAAACATTAATTCATCTGTTAAATTTACTCTCGTTTCATAGAAAGTTGAGCTTTTAAGAGAAGTATTGTAAAACATATAAAAAAATCATTTATCAATTGTATAACCATATCAGAATCATCTACGCATTTGAACGGTTCTATGTATTAGAATAAATTTAACGAAATAAGTTTTGATCGATAATAAGAATTGATCATATCATTAATACCTCGATCGATCATTATATAGAATTGATCATATCATTAATACCTCGATCGATCATTATATCAAGACACTGGATATTAATCAATAATAATACCCTGGCTTTATGTATACAAGTGGAAACAGCCCAAGAAATTATTTATTACAAATATTTTTTCAACTTTGGCTAGTCAATAAGTCCCATCTCCTTAAGACACTCTGGAATAATTATATATGGATCTTTGTAATACCATATCTCTATAAGAACGATCCAATTTTCGTCGCATAGTTCCCTTTTGAGCTGATCACGTATTAATTTCTCCTCAAAGTTTTTCTCATTTTTGTGAAAGTATTTTACGTATTTCTCATGTTGCTTACCTTGTACCTCTATTGCAAAATCCATATTGCGGATAATAAATGTCAAACTCTAATCCTCGTGGATACTCTGGTGTTTTTAAGAAATCTGGTCTGCGAATGTCAGAAGGTGGGCCAAGAATTTTCGTTATGACTTCACGACATAAGTTTTCATGTTTATTTAAGCAACATGGGCACCATGATTTAGCATGCTTCACACCATTAAAACTTGCAAACCACTTATGGCCTTTGTCACACATCCATTGCATCGGAACACAGAGATTTATACAGAGGGGTGACAAAAATATTTCCACACCTAAAGACTTGGCTTATAACTCCAAAACTTGCTAATTAACTTATGTTCTTGATTAGTCTATATTAATTCTTATTCCTTGATGATTATATCATATTATTTTTGGATTACATACTTGTATAATTAGCAAGTTATTTAACTTTGCTTTTAGAGTTTTGATGAATAATATAAAGATTTGTGTTTTTACATAAATATTTCAATAACTATTAGTTTAACTTTAATAATATTTTGCTATCT